TTCGTTACGCTGTTGCGTATCAGACGCCGTGTTGATAAGAGAGTACTTGGTACAAGACCTCGGCGAACCAAAATTCAACTCCCTCTCGGTGCGCCGCACGCCCTTCCTGATGATCCTCCCATCCCATCCCGTGACAACATCATACATATGCTTCACATTCTGGTCGACAACCCCGAAATAAACCAAGCCCCGGCGATAACATCATTATTTACTTCGCCGGACGCGGCTCTAGCTACTCCTACTCTGACTGGGAAGATAATTCCTATGACCCCAATCGTTGTAAAGTCCCATTCTCACAATGGGAAACCATTGATGCTCTCTGCCCCACGGACCGCGACTATCCTGACGGCAACGGAAATCCAATTCGCGATATCAGTGACCGAGAGTTCAACTCCATACTTACCCGAATCTCGCTCTCCAAAGACCACGAATTACTGTAATCTTCGATTGCTCTCATCTGGGTTCTGCAACCAGATACTTTCGGGATGGGGGCGTGCGCTCTGCGCCTCCGCTCATACACCCACTCATGCGCATGCTCCATTCTGCATAGGAGAGTATGAAACACTTCCCTGCCGTTCCTTCTGTGTTGTCGAAGGACTGTACTCCTGACATGTCTTCTCACGTCATTCTCGCAGCGTGTAGAGAGTTTCAGCTTGCGAAAGAGGTGAGAAGTGGGGAAGGGTTCCACAGGCTCTTCACGCAGTCGCTTGTTGAGACCCTCAGGTAGGAAGGCTTGAAACAGTTGACGTATATTGACCTCTTTTTTGCCATGCCCTGCCTTCATGTCCAGACGCCGGTCGTGGCCGGGAAACGTATGGCTGAAAAAATTTGGTATCAGGACTAGTGTACGTACTTCGATGGTCGTGTGTCCTCATAAGAAGACTCTCATTACGAGCTTGTAAATATACCTATATCTACAAGTTCAAACAGAGTACAAGATTTGTGCCATATTCCCTGAGCTGCGAATGGGTTGGTGTTGTTTGGACTGGACGAGGTGTGAAGAATCAAGCCAAGGGAGATTTCCTGATGACACATTATATGTATAAAGTACTGGACGAATTTCGGTGCGTAAAGTCCTCTTCACTGAGAATCCTGCTAAAATATGTGTTTCAAGATTCTGCGCATCGTAGATAATATAGCACCGAACGAACTGATCAAACATTGCCCTCCCGAAATGATTCGCCTCAGATGTGGGCCGTCTCCATTATTTTCTTGGTCGTTTCTACATATCTCTTCGCAGCCTGCTGTCTTCAGAGACCGAACACGGCCAGTTTTTTAAGACATTATGTCATATATGTGAATACGCGCGCCGCCCAAGGTGACATATGAGATGGCTGAGGATCTAGACGCACCATGTATATACTCGCGTTCGATTTATCTTTTCTGCTTGCCAAAAGGGCTCGCTGATTCAGAAAATATCTCTTCAATGGCAGAGGATTTTAATATGTTTTACCTGTCCCGTCAACTCCTTCGCTTTAGCGATTATCGTGACATTTAAGGCCGTCTATGTCCTGTTGACTCGGCGGAGGGCCTATCCGATTCTGATACTGCCAATATTTATACGATCAAGGATTTTGGCCAGACGTAGACACGTATCACTTCAAGTGAACACCTCCAACCAGGCATGTAGACAAGGCTTACCTGAGTACCTTTTTTGTAGCTATGAATCGTTGAGGGCGAGTTTCTTGATTACCATACAGTAACCATATGCTGTCGACGAGTCCTTCGATGTAATAGAGAAATGACTTGTTGAATTTCAAGAATTCTTCATTCGTTCACTAGTTCTTAGCATTTGGTGACCAATATACGACACTGCTTTAGTATCGTCTGCGTTAGTCAATCTGGACGATCGTCGACTTTATCTATATACAGGAACGTTCAACAAGGCAACAGCCTCTGGGAAAGGGGAGAAAATCAGAAACATGATAATCATTGGTACATTTACTACTACATTCAGCAATATTGTTTTCTCGACCTACTTAGTTGTCCAACAAACGAATGCACTTTACAGAATTATCGAAACGCTTCAATTGAGCCTCCGGCCCCTCAGACGCCGATGTTGATGGGGGTGCAGCCGAGAGCAACAACGCCATTCTAAAGAAATTTGAGGGTCAAGTCAAACTTCACAATACTGTACTGACAAAGTTATTATCTTCACAGCAGACCGCTTGGCTGTTGCACTGGGTTCCACCAACGCCAATAACGGAGATGGGGCTGCAAGTTACACCGCTATAGAGATGCCATAAATCACGGTATCCACTGAGGGTATACCTGTCACCTACACATTGGCAGTGAGGTCGCCGACGACGACTCCGAGGAGGCCTAAGAGGGTCGCGAGGCCGGGACTCAGGTCGCTGGGCTGATAATTCCATTCAGCTTTCAGATGGGTCAGAGGTAGGAAGACAAGCTCACGCTCTCAGTAGATTCACAACACTGCACAGTACCAGTGTTAGCATCGCAAGAGGCACCGTTGCTACCGCCACGAGGAAGGACGGTGGCCGTCGCAAGAGTGATCAGAACAGCGAAAGATGAGATACGAGCAAACATTGTGATTCGGTTGTATGGTTGAGGGCCTGAGCATAACTGGTGCTTCAACGCCTTTTATATAGCCTTCGTCTGGGAACGAAGGAGTCATTTGGACATGAAGAGTAGAAACAAAAATACAACGGTGTGAGTGCCCAGGACGAGTGGAGGGAGGTGACACGAATGACGCAGTCAGAAATCATGAAGCCTCGGATATCGGGTACGTCTTCGTGATGCGGGGAAGCGAGCAACAGTCAAAAATAGTCTCTTGTCACGGCGTCAGCATTCTCCGACCATGTATTCTCGAGACGTAGCCCTGGTCGTGGAAGGGCTGCGAAGATCTAGCAGGCGTTCCTCGCCGCCAATCCGCTCGTTGAGACACGCCGATGACGGTACTCCTCAGAAAAGCCCAATTCATGCGATGTAGCATTAAGAGAACCAGATACAACCGTAAGTTTCGGCATATCCATAATGTCGGGCTCACCGGTGTCGAGGGGAGAGCATCAGAAGTCGATTTCCTTGTGAAGGTTGTTATTTTGGCACTGGTAAAGATCTAGATGTAATTAACGCACACGTTTGACTCCAAAAAGTGATGCGGTGACTCATATGCGGTGTTGGTTGACTGTACGACCTATGGCTTGTCATGATTGGCCAGACCGGCAGGGAGATGAAGAACGCACGCACGACATTCATAATAAATGTCAGCACGAGTTCTGTCACGAGACGGACACATCATGGCCCTTTGTATTAGGGCGCGAAGTATCACTTTCGGGAAGAAAGTTACACCACTGAAGGACCTCCTTGATACAAATCCTCTTTGAACTGAACAAAAAGTCGAACGGAAGGGTCGATGTACCATCGCGCCTACAATGTGAAATTGGATACTTCACTGGGTCGGAGTTCCAGAGACGTCATGCATGCTGGAGATTGACATAAGGCGTTGACGGGAAAATATTCGCCCTGTACCTAGGTATTCTTGGAGAGAATTGAATGCCCTCAGGATGGATATCAATGGCTGGTCCAATCACTTGTAAGGTACACAACCATGATGTATGAGGAGGAAAATGTGGCACCGTTGGAGAGTGAACATGTGAAGAAGGGCTCACAGGCGAATGGAGGGAAAGCATGACTGAGAACTAGCAGCCCCATCTGTCGAGAGTTAAATTGCATACGAAGTTCATGTGGAAGGGCCAAATGACCTCCTGTCGAACGGACTTCTGTGGTATCAGCTAATTCATACTGATGCAATCAACCATCGATGGGTCGACATTTTGAACTCGACCGCATCGAACGGCCTTCCCAGAAATGGGCCGGATGTATGATAGAACAAACAACAATAGAGGCAGAGATATAGCCTAAGCAGTTCCGGAGTTTCTCATAGCTTTGTTTCAGATAGTGTTGGAGTACGACCAGTAAGAATAGGGATCAGAGAGAAATGAAGGAAACTCACACACACGTCGGCCCCTAATGTACATCGTGCACAGTTGATGCAGCGAAAGCGATAAATTCAGGGATACCAATAGATGGCAATACGCATAACAGAACGCTGCTCGTATGTGTACTAGCCTAGGAACATTTCTCTCAGGACGGAAGAATAAACTACCGACAAATCGGGAGAAACCACCAATGCTCGTATGACATATTCCACGAGCTGAATAGATCCACATGGTGTAGAGCTGATGGTTTGTGAAGCAGAGCAACTCGTGGGCACTTTCTGTCGTGCTGCTTTTTTTAGGATGGTCCGAAAAGTCAAAAACAAACGCACCGGAAGCCAACCACATAGTTCCTAATCTACGTCCACTAAAGGAACAGTCGAAAGAGTACCGTTGTTAGTAGTTTGGCTCAGGACGACAGTCGAGAAGGCTCGGTGAGCAAGCATAAACATTGTGCAGCTGTGTACTAGATCGTCTCGAACGTTACTAGCGCTTCACCATCTTGTTCTTGGAACTTAGTGGGAACTTGAAGTAGACGCCATTATTTCAAGCCTGGAGATACAAGGAACAAGCAAGGTACACGCCTTGAGAGAGATAACGGTTTCAATTCAAGTTGCAGTTTATTTGCCCGCCTCTCGGACCGTCTAGCCGGAGTCCTCTTTACTTACTTATTCTCCCGTCCAGATATCTCAACCGACTCCTAGTTCTAAATGCAATGGATGATGCGGGAGACTTTGACTTTTGACACCGATTCGCAGTTCCTAGAGGCCGAGCACTTACTGCAATATTCGAGCGGCTGCAGCCCAGTTGCTCGAGCTTGACTAGGAGAGGCCAGCGCTTCCCTCCCGGCCCATCTTGTTGGTCACATAAAGCTCATTCGTCTGGAGTCGGCAGAAAGGCTCGAAAATGAACAGTTGTCACTTTCAGCAATATCAAATTCTTGCTCTAGTAATACCTCTGCACAATTTTCCGATATCGCCAAATATGTTCCGACTTGTCAGAGGCCAATGTTGATCGGGGTTCAGCTGAGGGGAATAGGTCGTTCCGTTTGTGAAGAGCCTGAAATGTAAGGGGATAAATAGATCGCGTAGCAGCCTTACTGGTCATCGGTCATGGAGCAGAGACCGAAATATAGTAGTGTGAGTGTACGGAACAAGTGGGGTGACACGAATGACGTGGTCAGGAATCATTAATCCTCGCTCACCAGGTACATACATTTTCATGATATAGGGAAGCGAACAAGGGAGCATCAATCAACAAAAATTGGTCCCTTCTCACAGCGTCAATACTGTCCGAACGTTCTTACGAGACGGGACATAACCGTGGTTGTGGAAAGATAGGTTACAAAGATCTAGTATCTCGGGTGATGCTTGGTGTTTGCGTCGTCATCTAGCCTCTCCTGCTCATTGCTGGCGGTACTGTTCATAAAGGGCCAATTTAATGAAACGTAGTACTGAGAGAACAAGATACGAACTTTTCTGTTGTCCTTTTCCTACGTCGTTCTCATCGGAGCCGAGGCAGAAGTTGTGAGCGTCTTTGTTTTGGAATTGGCAGGCGAAAGCCGCGAATACGTCCGAACTATTGGACTCCAATGATGAACATATCTTCTGATGCCTTTGTAGCAATGGCGCGTGGTGTTGGTTGAACATGCGGCCTAAGACTCTGAACTCGTCATTGCGAATGATCGAACCAGCCAATAGATTTAGGATGCACATAATATATACATACAATCTTGTGGTGACCTCCCACTTGCCTCGGCGTGTCTGGCAACTTTAAAGTCAGAACATGAGGACGATCATGAGACGAACATTTCATGGTTTTCACATTTGGGTAAGACACCATGCATCATGACGTTCTGATGACACAAACAATGGTATTATACTAACTTGATAAAAGCCATGTCTCAACAAACAATAAGCTCTTTCGTTTAAAATGCCAACAGGACACATCTCCGAAATGGAGATGTAATGGATACTGGACATTGAGATCGCACTAAAGTTGGTTAATTGTTCTGTCCCTGCATATTTTGGGAGAGAATACTCGGAAGTTTGAAAGCCCCGTCCAAGATCCAACATAGAATCCGCGAAGGATGACATGAGAAAACTCACTATGAGGGTCTTCGCCTTGAGCCCAAGGCCAGGATGGGGAGAAAGGGCTCACCATCTAATGGAAGGAAAGAATTGCCAAAAAAAGAAACAGCAGCTTATCAAAATACACTTATTCACGTGAAGGAATTAAGAGATCATTCCTGGCAGAATGAATTTCTGTAGCACAAGTTGCACTTGCCACAACCTGGAAATAGGACACTGACAGTGAATACAGTTGGAAGATCCACTGATGAATGGAATCCTTCTCCCTTTCAGAGGATGAGTCAAACATATATTTTTCAAGAAAAGAATACAAATGGGAATGGTGAAAGTGTATTGGAATTGAGGTGCTGGTGGTTCAGAGAGGGGCATATTAGACTCAAAGGAATGGTATATTTCATTGTATAGAGTAAGGACAGTGGGGTCTTGTTGTAAGTAGAGAGCAGAGTAATGTAACAGAGAACTAGAATTAGCCTCTCGAGAGAGAAACATTCTACTTAAATACATTTCGTATTACTTCGAGATCTTTCTATGAGATACTAAATAAGTCTGGATCATGATCCAAGTCAGCTGCCGCTGACTGGCATCATATCTTCGAGTACATTCTTGTACTCGCTCGGGATTGCTATCCCAACACTCCCCCTCAATTCTGAGTTCCTAGAATACCTGTGGATAGATACTCATGTAATGGTCTTGGTAGGCCTTTAGTGAATATATCTGCTAAGTTTTCTTCTGATGTGCAGTGCTGAACTTTGACTTCATTTGAAGCCATGTGCTCACGAACGAAGTGGTGCCATATGTCTATATGCTTCGATCGTGCATGGAATATAGGGTTCTCAGCGAATTTGATTGCTGATTGATTGTCAATGAAAATAGTCGTTGCTTCATAAGGTGGCAATCCTAATTCGGTTAAGAGTGCTTGTAGCCAAATTACTTCCCGGGTTGTGTGTGCAAGGGCCATATATTCTGCTTCCATAGTGGATAAGGCTATGGTGGGCTGTTTCTTTGAACTCCAAGTAACAGCTCCCCCTGCATAGGTACAGACATAACCAGATGTTGATCTTCTATCTGTTCTGTCTTCTCCCCAGTCTGAGTCTGAATAAGGTATCAGCTCATCCATAGTCCCTCCATATGTGATTCCAAAGTCTAGAGTTCCCTTCAGATAGCGGAAAAACTCACTTCAAGGCTGTGACATGCTCAGCAGCTGGATTCTGCACATACTTGCTTAATTCGGTGACAGCATGTGCAATGTCGGGCCGGGATCCATTGGCCGCATACATTAGTGATCCGACACCAGTATGGTAATATTGCCTGGTGGCTGTGTCAACACCTTGTGGGTCTTCTGTCGGAATTTTCTCTAGCCATACATTCGGATCCATAGGCATTTTGACCGGTTTGCAGTCATTCATGCCCATTCGCTCAAGTACCTTAAGAATATATGCCTTCTGGGATAGAGTGATAGTGCTCTTGTCCTTATTCCTGTCTATCTTCATGCCCAATATAT